AGAGTCTTTAAGAACTTTAAACCACTGAGACCTTAGAACTAGCCAATAGGAGACAATGAGTCTGGTGAGTGGGGGTTGGGGTAGGAGTGTAGTTCCCACTGGGTTGGTGGGACAGCCCCTCTGGCCTGTCTGCCCTAACAGGAGCAGCAAATGCCAGAGAGGGGGACTGGGTACGTGTATGCATATAACAATGTATGTACACATAGTCTATCTTTTCTACATGCACTTAGGTGCCTGTGGTATATACCTATGATACGTATCTATGAGATGTGTGTGTGTGTCTCATAGGTAGATCCATGTCTTGGGGGCTGTGTTGTGTGTTCTTGAATGTATATGTGTATATAGAAAAAACATATGAGCATGTGGCAAGAGTTCTGTTAAGGACTAGTCTTTCACAGATCACTCCTGGCCTACTTGTCTGGACATCACCTCCCCAGGTGAGTGACCCACCAAGGACTGAGCAAACTGACCAAGGCTCAAGGGCAAGCAAAGCGAGCGAGTTTCCAGTGGTGGCATGGGGAGCTTCACCGGGCACAGGGTGGCTGTGCCAACAGCAGCAGGAATCATTGACGCACTGTTCTCACTGCCCTAGCCCCGCTCACTTCTCATAGGTGATGGGAGACAGGACTGCTCAGAAGCCAACTCTCTTAGCTGGAATCACAAGATACACCTATAGGTCCAGTAATCAGGAGGCTGAAACAGGAATTGTTATTTGAAGCCAGTCTGGGCTCTAACCCAGACTACGAAAGAGATATCTTGTCTCAAAAAACAAACACAAACAAGAAACAAAGATGGAGGGGTTGCAGAAAGGAGAAAGAGAATGTAAATAGGAATTCAAATTCACCCTAAATACATCTAGCATCTTTGGAGGACAAGAAAGTGACCCAAGTGACCCCTCCCTGCAGGTCATGCCACTCAGAACATAATGGTCCATCTTGAAGAAATTCTCAAGCACCAGAGGAAGTCTGTTTAAAGCATACTTTTCTGTTTAAGCACAGAAGATGCTTAAACTGGCACAGCAGCGGAGTCGCCAAGCCACACAGGGGCTAGGGGAGCAGAGGGGAAGAAGCAGGTTCACACCAGTTCACATCTGTTCTTGGGGATCTGCAGCTCCTCCTAGAAACAGCAAAAGTTAGGAAATGCCCCGCATCATGGTCAGGCTTGTCTTCCTCCGTCATTCTGGGTTGAAAGTGCACACACAGGGAAGGCAGCTTCAAACGTGCCTCGCGGGTTCCAGGTAATTAGGGATGAGACTGGGACAGAGGAAGTGGGTGACCAGAGATGCCACTGGGCATCCAGACTGAAGAAGTCTGTAGGGGTGTTGCCTGGCAGCTGTGATGGAATGGAGACCAGATGGGGTCAAGGGTCCTGGAAGCTCACAGCAGCTGGATCAGAGGAAGCTTCTGGTCAGGGATACCTAAGCTGAGATCAGAGAGCAGACAAAGGCTAGGGGCAAAAAAAAAAGTCTACATTTTTGTAGTCTATGGTTGTTGTGTAAGAGTGTCCTGTAGGATTAAAATACTCCATCCTGCAGGGAAGCTACTTAAACAGGAAGGTAAAAAACTCAAAATAGCTTCAGGAAGTCCCTGACACCGACCAGATTCACTTGGCCCCTCCCAGTCAGAGTAAGCGATAAAAGCTGAGCAGCTGTCTAGGAAGACCAGAGGGGAAAGGTAAAGAAGACTTTTGAGATCAGAACAGCTAGCTGCCTGGAAGCAGCAGAAACCAGCTGAGCTACCTGGAAGAGGGCTAGAACAACTGAGTCACTTGGAAAGCACACTCTCCGACCTGTTGAGATGCCTGCAGGCTGTGCAGTGGGCTCCATGTTCCCAGCTTTTGTGAACTCTCACCTTTGCTGGAGTGGGCTTTGGTGACACAGCTGTCTTTGAGTCATTTCTGCTCCTGTAAGTAACCCCAATAAAACTCATGGTTCACCAAGTTGAACTTTGGTGGTGTCCATACTTTAGTTTGTCATAAGCTTCCTATGTGGGGCAAGCAGATGTGTTTGTTGCGATCTCCTTTAGAATTGCTGTCGCAATGGTACAAAGGTCTGGAAGTGTGGAAGAAGCTCTGACTGCAAAGAGCTAAAGTAAACCCACCTGCATACCACCTTCTGGGGTCTGCTTATCCCAAGGATACAGATCTGTGAGGGAAGCCTTTGCTCTTCCTTTCCCTCAGGGACATCTTGGTAAGCTAGGCACTTCTGTGAGATGCAAGAGGGACTAAAGAGAATGGAGTACCAGGTTCCTACCAAAACAAACAAAAACAAACAAACATCTCTTTCAAGGGCCTTCTCACAGTATCTTTGAGGGAGGTTCACAGGTACTGGGTGTCCATTCAGAACCAAGGTTTTGGGGCTTTGCTCCAGCCTGAGTGGGTGATGGAGGTCCTGATCCTGCCAGCATCCCACAAGCTGCTTTTGCTCTTCTTTGTCCCAGCCCTTTGTCTCCACAGTCAACCCCTCCCCATATGGTCTCCCTCATCCAAACTCTGATGCTTTTTCCATTCCTCCTGAGTACACCCCACCCCCACCCAGAACCATCTCCAGTTCCCAGCATCCTGCAGATGTGTGTCCCTTCGAGGGACTCCAGAGGGGAAAAGCTAATGTAAGGAATGGCAGGGCCCCTAGCCTTTCTCTAGGTCATGGGGTGGAAATATGGGTGCACCCAAAATGTGTCTCTTTCAATGGAGTCACCACTGGACAGAACCCAGCCTAATTCCCTCCACCTCTCATTCCAAGAACCTCAGAAGGTTCTGAAAACCTTGGTTCTGAATGGACACCCAGTACCTGTGAACCTCCCTCAAAGATACTGTGAGAAGGCCCTTGAAAGAGATGTTTGTTTGTTTTTGTTTGTTTTGGTAGGAACCTGGTACTCCATTCTCAGAAGCAAGCGTGCCTGCACACAATGGAACCCAGCCTTGCTTGAGGACAGCAGGAGACTCTTACTAATGTGACTCTGGCCTGCCCCTCTGGAAGTGTCTCCCTAACAGCTTGTTAGTAAATCATGAAATCATCTAAGGAGAGGCACTAAACTCATCTTTCTCCCAAAGAGAAAGGTCTCTGGGTTTGATTCCCAGCACCACGTGGTGCTGTAATTACAACCATCTGTAATTCTAGTTCTGTGGGATCCTATACTCTCTTCTGGCCTCTGTGATACATGGACATACAAGTAGAGAAAACACTTAAGTCTTTTTTTTTTTTAAATGAAAAGAAGCTGGCTGAGAGGTGGTGGTTCATACCTTTAATCTTAACACTTGGGAGGCAGAGGCCAGAGGCACCAGGCAATCTCTTGAGTTCACGGCCAGCCTGGGCTACCTAGAGAATCCTGTACACAGAGAAACCCTGTCACCACTGCTCACCTGAATTAGCTCTTGGCAAAACTGAGACCAAGAAGGGAGAATGGTACTCAGGATTTACCACACATCACGAAGGGGCAGGACATATAGGGACTTACCACTGGGACTCGGAAGCTGTCTACAAGCAGTGTCCAGTGCAGTTCTTCACATCTACAACCCGTCCTAAGAAGGCCATCCTTAGCTGCCCTACTGTGACCTTTCTGAAAGAGAATGTAGAAGAGAGCTCCTGCAGCTGAGAAAAAAGCCCTGTAAGTGGGAGATGGGGACTGAAACTGCAGCCCAACCGGACACCACTGACACCGCAATCTCGGGTTGGGGTCAAGATGACTCCGAGATCACTAGCCCGGGACAGAGTGAGGGACTAAGTTTCATGTTAGGCTACCCTGTCTGTTAAAGCGAATGCACCCAGGGCTTGGGAGGAACAACTTCCTCCAAGGAAAGACCGCCTTGGTACAGTCAAAAATGCGCGGTAGGTACAAGGCACGCTTGCCGCCGGAGTCCAGCGCCTTTGTTTGAGACCTACCTGCAGATCCATTTACCTCCTTAGCCCCACCCACCTGAGAGCCTGAACACCACGCTGGGCGAGACCCCGCCCACTTTCATCTGGGTGGACCCGCCTCCTTTCCCGCACCCTCTTTCGGCGGCGATTGACTCTCTGCCGAGCGCGTGCCCGCCTACCGCGAAAGTTGATTGGTGCATGCAGAGAGGTAGGTGAAGGGAAGCTGATTATGGAGCGCTCCCTCCCTCCTACCCGCCCCAGTGGGAAAGTCACGTGGCGCTTCACTCCGCGCTAGTCACCACCGCACTTGTAAAAGCTTTCTTAAAGTGCTCGCGTTCCCTTACCCAGGGATGATCCTTTCAGAATTCCTCTAGTTTTGCTTGCGGTGTGTGAGAGCGGTCCTTGAACCATCCCCTAAGTCACCTAGGTGATGATACCCTCAGCAGATCTCAGCAGACCCTCCAACTCAGGTCTGGAACTTATAACCATCAGGGGAGGATGATGCGGTCATCTGAAACTAAGACCGCCTAACAGAGCAGGACACATAGTAGGAATTCAGTTTTCATTTGTTGAATGAACGCGATCAGAGAATGAATGAGGATAACAGACAAGAGGAGGGAAGATTGGCTCCGGGTGACCGCCCCACACACTCCAATCCTAAAGAAATTCTGCTCCTGTAAATGTTAGGTGGGGTCCCAATGCAGCCTTTCTGCAGGGCACAGATCTAGGCGCTCAGCCAGAGGGGATCTGCGAGGCCGCCTTGACTCGCCCCCCTGGGCAGGTGGTAGCCAGGTCCTAGCTAGGCGGGACCGCAGGAGCCGGCCGAGGGCGCTCCCGCGCCGCTTGCGGGGGAGGGGCTGCGGAGGCGCGGTGCCTTTAAGCCCGGGCGCCGGCCTCACGGCCCCGCCTCCCGGAGGACGCCCGGGCGCGCGGCCGCCGGAGCCGCGGTTTAATTGGGGCTGTCAGGCCGCGGCACGCGCGGAGGGCCGGCCGGGCGGGACTGAGGCCGGAGGCTGGGAGGCCGGGGCGGCGGGCGCGCGGCTCAGCGGGAGGCGGGCGCCCGGAGACGCGGCTGGGGCCAGCGCGGCCGGGGCGCCGTCCCAGGGCTGGGTTGCCCGGCCCCGGCCCCGGCCCCGGGATCCCCATGAAAAACCAGCTCCGCGGGCCCCCAGTGCGGGTGCACATGTCGACTTCGGGGGCGGCGGCGGCGGCTGGGGGCACCCGGGCGGGGTCGGAGCCCGGTGCGGGATCTGGGTCCGGCGCAGGCATCGGAGCGGGAGCGACGACGGGAGCGGGGGCCATGCCCTGCAAGAGCGCCGAGTGGCTGCAGGAGGAGCTGGAGGCGCGCGGTGGCGCGTCCCTGCTGCTGCTGGATTGCCGGCCGCACGAGCTCTTCGAATCGTCGCACATTGAGACGGCCATCAACCTGGCCATCCCGGGTCTCATGCTGCGCCGCCTGCGCAAAGGCAACCTGCCCATCCGCTCCATCATTCCCAACCATGCCGACAAGGAGCGCTTCGCCACGCGCTGCAAGGCGGCCACCGTGCTGCTCTACGACGAGGCCACGGCTGAGTGGCAGCCCGAGCCCGGCGCCCCCGCCTCAGTTCTCGGCCTGCTCCTGCAGAAGCTACGAGACGACGGCTGCCAGGCCTACTACCTCCAAGGTAAGGGCAGAACCTAAACCCCAGACGGCATTGGGGCTGTGCCGCTGCTCCCTGGCGCCCTAGCTGCAGGCTGTTTCCTTTCCACTCGCTTGGCCAGGCCGGGCGCCACGTCGCCCCTGGTCCGAATCCGCCCTTCTGGGAGCCATCCCCTAAGGTGTTGATTTAGCCAGGCACAGGGAACCCAATCTGTGTCCTCTTTTTTAGCACCATTCAATGGCTGAAACAAACTTTTCCTTTCCTATTTATTTATTTTTTTCTCTGTTGATGGGTAGACAACAGCGCACAGGCTCCAGCTGAGCTCAGAGGAAGGGGAGAGATCGCTGCTGGAACCCAGAAAGGAACAGGGCCCACAGGCTAGCCTGGCATTTGTGTCATTAGTAAGCTTAAGATCGGGAAGGCACCTTTCACAGTATCACCCACACTCCTGTGCATGGGACCCGTTTATATTGGTTTCTCTGGGATCTCTGTATGGCCCCTATCAATCAGGATCGCGGCTTCTTGGAGGCACTTTGGCAGATGTGTGGACAGTGGCCCAGGTGTGTGTGTGTTGAGGGGTGGGGAGTGGTCCTCAGTTCGCTGCCCCTGAGTTTACAGAAGGGGGAGGCAGCAGCCTGCCTGCCGGGGGGTAAGGGAAGCTATTGGCTGCAGCCGGTGTTTCCAATTAACATTCCAAAATGGCCTCTTGCTGGCAGCAGACAGGCTGGGAGGGGAGGGGAGTCCTGCGGCACCCTCGGGTGCCGCAGGGCCATGTCTAGCTGCATGGTGCTCCTTGTCTCTCCTGTCCTTGTGTAGCCCCCATGGCCCCTCCGTTTGGGTCACATGCAGTGTTTGGGGTGTTTGTGCTGAGGAAGGGCTCCAGAGAAAAGTGCGTCGCCAGTACCCATTTCCCCTCTTGCTGGGGAAAAGGACTTCACAACACCCTCCCCAAGTGTGGTTGCTTGAGTGCTTGAGCTCTGCCTCTGACTGGCCCATATGTGTTCTGGCTCCTTTCTCTTTGGAATAGGGGTTTGCTGGCCTACAGGTGTTGGCATGTGGTGGGATTGCTGGCCTTTCTTTGCCCATTAGCCACTACTGAGCACTCGGGTGTGTTGGTGTATGTGGGAGCTATGGAAGAGGAATGAACTGGTACCTGTCCTCAGGTGCTCTATATCAAGTGATAGGGCCAGTATACTTTAACGGTTATGGAACGGGCTCAAAGCTGAGACCCCAGTTCCCTTATTTGTGAAGTGGTAATAGTTTAGATGGCCAGAACGTATGAGTGGGTACATATGTGATGTATTTGGCATGGTCACATTGTCTTTTGACATGGACATGTTGTGTGTGGCCTTTGACATGGAGAGTCCTGGCCATTAATAGTCTTTTGTGGCCCATCTGGACTCACCAGACCCCTCTGCCCCCCCCCCCAATCTCACCCTGACCACAGGTGGTTTCAACAAGTTCCAGACGGAATACTCAGAGCATTGTGAGACTAATGTGGACAGCTCGTCCTCCCCGAGTGGCTCGCCACCCACCTCCGTGCTGGGCCTGGGGGGCCTGCGTATCAGTTCTGACTGCTCAGATGGCGAGTCAGACCGAGAGCTGCCCAGCAGTGCCACTGAGTCGGATGGCAGCCCTGTGCCATCCAGCCAGCCAGCCTTTCCGGTCCAGATCCTGCCCTACCTCTACCTCGGCTGTGCCAAGGACTCTACCAACCTGGATGTACTTGGCAAGTACGGCATCAAATATATCCTCAATGTTACACCCAACCTGCCCAACGCCTTTGAGCATGGTGGCGAGTTCACCTACAAGCAAATCCCCATCTCTGACCACTGGAGCCAGAACCTCTCTCAGTTCTTCCCTGAGGCCATCAGCTTCATTGGTAGGTGTCTTTGTCTGGGCAAGGTGGGTGGGTGGGTGGGCGAGGCAAGGTGTGTGAGGGACGCTGGGTGTCGCCCCTCCCCAGCTGGGTACCTCTGGGCCTGTCAAGACCTGTGTGTGCTCTGCGTGTGCTGGCATGTGCCTGTGGGTGTACCCATGCTTGCAGTGACTCACGGAGCCCCTCGGGCCCCTCTACCTGTTAGGACCTGAGCAGTCCCCTGAATCCTGGACTACCCCCAGCTCTGAGTACCTATTGGACTCTCTGGTCCAACCTATGTTTTTCTGGCTTTGCTGTAGTTTCAAGTGTAGCAAGCTGAAACATCACAGCTCACAAACTCCCACGGGTCTCACTTGTTCTCCATCACGCCTCGGCACATGTGTCTCTGCAGGATGGGGCTGTCACGATGCCTCTTTTGGCTTTGTTATGCTTCAGAAAGGGCTAGGAGAGATAGCCCAGGGAACCAGATTGACCCTAAACTGACACGGTGTTTTAGATATGGGATGCCCTCAAGTGCCTCTATGGGATCCAGATGCTCTTAGCTGCCTACATAGAGAAGGTGGAGGCAGCTTGAGGAAGGCCTCTGTCCCCGACCTCAGCTGACTCAGGCTCCTCCTCCTGCTTCCTCCTTGGCCAGCTGGCCTGGAGGTCATCTCTTCTGGCCTCAGGTCTTAACCAGGCAGCCAGCAAAGGACACAGGCTCGGGATAAACATAAACCTTGTGCTCTCTGAGCCTGCTACTTCTGTTTCTGCCCAGCCTCCAGTGTCAGGGTGAGGGAGGACCTGGGCCGTGTTTTCCAGATTGATGGCCACTGTGTCCAGCTGAGGGCGTTTAGTGTCAGCTGGGCTGGGCTAACTTTAACAACAGGAAGTGGGAGGCTTCCCCCGCCTCATCCGCTTACTGGGAACCAAAACTAGGTGCCAGGGCTGGGAGGAAGGAAGGAAGCTGAGGTCTGGGGGAGGGGCTGCCTAGAGCTTCCAGCCCTGCCCCAGAAGCACTCTGGAGGTGCTGCTTCAGCATTTGGGCTCCCACAAAAAGGGAAGGTACAGAGAGAAGCACCCCAGGTTGCTCAGGACTAAAGCCTGACTTGTGGATGGTTTCATTCTTAAAAGCTATCCTCCATTTCTGGGTGAGAAACAAGGAAAGAGTACAGGATGCAGAGGTGTGAGGGAAGGTTCCCAGATATGATAAGTGAAGGAATCAGCCCCCCACACAGGACTGAGCCACACTCTCAAAGCTTCTAAGGAAAGTTTCAGTGTGGGTCATCTGGGAGTGACCCTACAGTGTCATTCTGAGGGCTTTTCCCTCACCCCTTTCCCAAATTTCAAAGTCAGGCCACTTGACTCCTGTCACAAAGTCAGCCATATCTGCCACCTGTCCTGCCCCTAGTACCAGGAGCGGTCAGCCAGGCTGCCAGTCCTACTGTTTGCTTAAGAGTAGGTCTCCTAGATGAACAGAGGTGACGAGGAGATCTTGGCCAGGCGAGGGACAATAAAGAATAACTGGTGAATGTATCCTACAGGAAAATATCAGTTGTCAGCTGTGTCCCTGGCCCAGGAAGCTTGGAGGCAGGCATCATAAGGAGCCTGCGGCTGTCTCCTGTTAGCTCAGGTCCCTAGGAGTTGTACAGAAAGAAGCGACTGCTGTGGGGTCTAGGGGAGAAGACCCTGGTAACACTATTGAGTAGCTCAGTCAGTATTTGTAGAGTTCACACTGTCTCAGGTGGAGGTGCCCTTGGTGGCCCTGGAGGAGCCTAGAAGGGTGCAGGGAGGAAAGGGACTGCCCATGGCCGGAGATGTTATTCTCGTCCCTGGGTCTTCAGGAGCTGGAGTTAAGACCTAGGAGACTGAGTGGGTACAGTACGTGGCCATGCTGGGCCTGGCTGCCCACTTCTTTCCACAGGTGCCTGCTCCAAGCCCTCATCCCAGGATGTGCTGGGAGTCCCCCAGGGAGGGGGTGTGGAGTGGAAGGACCCTCTGTGTGCCCTGTTGCTTCATTTCTGCATCCATTTTCTCTTTGACTCGACGGGCTGACTGGCTGTGGTGTCATCAGGAGGATGTGGGTGACACCCTGTGTACCACTTTCGGCCATGTGGGACTAGAAGTGATCCCAGGGGTGACAGTAATTTGTGCTTGGTGAACCCCCTTGCATCGGGTTCCTACAAAAGCACTGACAATACCTGGGCAGTGGTAGGGCAGACCTTTCATTCCAGCAGTCCAGGAGGCAGAAGCAGGCAGCTCTCTGGGTTCAAGGCCAGCCTGGTCTACAGAGTGAGTTCTGGGACAGCCATGGCTACCCAGAGAAACTCTGTCTCTCTAAATCAGGCTGCATAGTGGAGGGCACTGAGGCCCACTGGCGGTCAGGGGCTCAGCTGTAGCATAGTATTGTACCCCAGCACCTTGTCCATGCTGGGCTTTATCAGGTCCTTAAAGCATCTGCCTATGCTAGCCAGCCGCTAAGCTCTCCTCTGTGCCTCTGCCCTTCTTTGTGACCCATCTGTCTTGGGGGTTGCTTGGAGATAGCTCTACTCTGACCCATGTCCCTATGTTTCAGATGAAGCCCGCTCCAAGAAGTGTGGTGTCTTGGTGCACTGCCTAGCAGGCATCAGCCGTTCAGTGACAGTTACTGTAGCCTACCTGATGCAAAAGATGAACCTGTCCCTCAACGACGCCTATGACTTCGTTAAGAGGAAAAAGTCTAACATCTCGCCTAACTTCAACTTCATGGGGCAGCTGCTGGACTTTGAGCGGACGCTGGGGCTCAGCAGCCCGTGCGACAACCACACACCCAGTGAGCAGCTCTACTTCTCCACACCCACCAACCATAACCTGTTCCCGATCAACACGCTCGAGTCCACGTGAGGCCTGATGCACTGACGTGTGCAGCACCAGGGTCTCCCAGCCCTCCGCAGGGCCTGGTGGGGGGGGCCCCTAGCCTGCTGCTCCTCTGGCCTGAAGAACCCACAGATGTCACCTGTGTCCAGAGAACCAGGCTGAACAGTGGCTGGGCTCCCATGCCATCCTGTGCAGGGCCCACAGCAAGGCTGCCTGTGACAGCACTTGCCAGATGGCTTCAACTTTCCAGACATGTTGCTGAGGTGAGCGTTGGCCTCAGCTTTCAGACTTACGGCTTGGGGGCCAGCGGGGCCTTGTCTCTGCCCCAGGACATCCATTCTGCTGATGGCTCAGCCATTCTGGCTATTTTTAAAGACATATCCACAGACCTGAGTTTGCTACTTTTGGCAGGTAAATCCAAGCTCCCTGGAGCAGAGAGTGTTCAAGCTCTTCTTGGTTTTTCTTTTCCCTCCTTTCCTTCCTTCCTTCCTTCCTTCCTTCCTTCTTTCCTTCCTTTTTTTTTTTTAACAAAAAGTGTTATTTTTCAGGCTAAATGCAACAACGGGTTGTATAAACCAATATTTCACCCCTTTCTTAGAGAGAGAGGGAGGGAGAGAGAAAGAGAGATGTTCTCAGTTTCTTGTTTCAAAAAGCAAATCATTGGTGTATTTTGTTTCAGTGGAAAAGACAAACCCCATGTACTTGACCAAATGCATTTTGCACATGTGTAAAGTCTGTTTCCCCAGCAGGCCATTCTTGGGGTGGGTTGATGCTTCCCGGGCATCAGGACCCTGGTTATACCTGTGGCCCAGCCAGCTCAGTGCCGCATTTGCATGGGCCAGTTGCTATGAGCTGAGCCTGGTGGGCACTGGTGGTCTTTGTGTTGTCTGTTCTCCTGCCAACCTTCTGGGAGTCCTGCAGACCTCTCTGCCAAGTCCTACTGGAGGTGGTGCTGCAGGGGAGTGCCAAGCCGTAGCATTAGCCATCTGGGTTCAGCCCCTCAGAGGGCTGGGCCCTGGCCCTTTTATAAATTACCCACCACTTCTGTCCTCATCTTTGTCTCTTAACTGGGAGTAGAGGCTCACAGTGCCTGAGTAAAGCCTTCCCAGTCCCTCATCTTTGCTGTAGATTGCATCTAGGTCCACTCCCAGCCCCCTTGTCCAGGTGCACACCTACCCTGGCCTGTGTTGCCCATGCCTTTTACCTGCAGGTAACTTACACCTATTGCGGTCCAAGAGCTGGGGCAGGTGGGGCAAGGACTGGCCAGTGGGAGTGTGAGGCCACCACCCCAGTATCCATAGCACAAAGCCACGGACTCCCTAACTCTCCTCTGGTTTCATTGCTTCTCAAGCCTTGGTTCTTACCAGGCACCATGAGGAACAGGAAGTGCTGGGGTCCTAATGGGACCCGCACCCACAGTGGACAGTGAGTGAGGCCACAGGAACTCCACACCGCCACATCTTACCTCACAGGGGTGGTTTTCAGGGATTCTTTAAGGAAGCAGTTTAAAATCTTGCCACAGTTGAGAAATTGACCAAAAACAAAACAAAACAAACAAACAAAAAACTTCTGTTCATGGTTTCCCTCCCCCCCCCCCCCCCGCATCTCTCTCTCCCTCCCTCTCTCGCTCTCTCTCACTCTCTCTCATTTCTAAAAAGAAAACCCAGAAACATGGATCAGAGTGTAAATGAGGGTATACCAGAGGGTGGGCAGTTTTGATTTAAGATCTTATGAAGGAAAGTTTGTGACCCTACATACCTATATATATACACACACACACACACACACACACACATACATACACATACACACACACAAACACACACACACACACATATATATATATATCCCGAGCCAGCAACGGGACTTTGTTTATATTGCAAATAAATATTATTTTTTCTTTAAATGGAGTCCTGGTGTTCAGTAAGGGCCTGGGAAGACAAGGCAGGAACAGTGTTGTCTGTTTCTGTGAGAGTTGGCCTCATCTTGCCTAGCGTTGGCCAGGAGGTGCTCAAATACAGGAGGTAGCAGCAAGGGCTTCTGAATGAAAGCAAATCCAAGCCGGGTAGTGGGGACACACACCTCTAATCCTAGCACTCAGGCAGAGGAGGTGGATATCTGCATCTGAGGCCAGCCTGGTCTACAGATCGGGTTCCAGTACAGCCAGGGCTACCCAGAGAAACCCTGTTTTGAAAAGTAGAAAGTAGAGCCAAGCTCACTGGGACAGGGAACTCCTCTTGTGTTTGGCATGGTGAGCACCTCTTTTGCTGGTGAGGGCTTAGGCCTGCTGGGGGCAGGTGGAAGCGGTGTGCTCGGGCCTCCGTTGGGGCTTCCAGTCTTACAGTCTACAGCTGGGAGCAAGGAAGCGGCTCTGGAGAGCAGGGACCACAGTGGGCAATGCCCCCCCCCCCCCGTTTTAGAATGCCTTATCCCCTCGTCTCTGCCTGCATCAGGTGGGCACAGGTGCAAGATGGGTAGGGCAGGCCCAGCCTCTCCTAGGACTTGGTCCTCTCTTGTCCTGGCTCTTCTCTGACCCCGTCTCCTTGCTGCCCCTCAGTCGCAGACCACCAGAACAGTCCCCACCCTCACAGAGGGGCCAGGCTCAGCCACCCATTGGTGGCTTAACTGCTGGGACTGGCGTCCTGAATTCAGTGCTCGGGGACTCCCAAGTAAAGGACCTCACATCCCTACAGGCTGAGGGCCAGTGAAGTGGGGTTCTCGCAATGTTGGCAAAGGGGCGGTTGCTACTTTTGCTGTCAGGATTCCTCAGGGCCCTGGTCCTTCTGTGCCAGGGGCAGGCAGGGGTGGGTGTCTGAGAAGGCAGAGACTGCCCCTTTGTTCCCTCTCAGTGCCCTTGCCTGGGGATAGGGAAGCCCGCGGGCGCCTGGCTGGGGGCTGGGCCCTTAACAGAGTAAGTGCCTGGCAGTGCCAGTGTGCCCAAGGGCATGATGGGGGTGGGAACAGCAGTGACTTTCTGAGCAGACTCCTCAAGCTGAGGACTGAGGGCTTGTGAGTGCGTTAAGGGGGCCAACCCATCCTTCCCGACCTTGATATCAACCCAGTGGTCTGCCTCGGACCCACAGTACCCTTGTTCTTTGGAAATTCTGCCCTTACTGCTTGCTAATGCTGGGGCCGGGGCGCAGTGGTCCTGATTATGGCTGTGTGGCTTGGTCCCTGGGTACCTGGTCTGAAACCTTAGGCCAGGCCTTGCAGCTCTAGATCCTAAACTCCAACCTTGTGGACTCTCACGCTGTCTACTCTCACAGCCAGATCCCATCTGTGGGTTCTGAACATTTCAAGCCCATTCGCAGCTGGGCCCCCAGACACCAGCCCCCCTGAACTTTGGGTGAACACTTACACTCGGGCCGTTCTACCCCGTCACTCTCCTGACCCTCTCTTAGCTCCACAAGGTCCTGTTTCTGCCTTCTCAGACTCTAACCCCAGGAACCCAAAGAGTTCCACTTCTTTGTCGCTTTTCAGCACTCTCGGGGGAGAAGGATCCAAGCTACTTACTCACGGGCACATTCATACACCAGCCATTTCCTGTGCTGGCTGGGCAGTCCCAGGAATGGGAACATGCCCCAGGGAAAGTTCTGTGATGTCAGCCTGGGTGGTAGGATAATGGGCCCTCAACTTGTCTTCTGATAAATGAATCAGATTGCAACAGCAAGCGTGACTAAGGCTGGACACCAAGAAGAACTTGAAGCACTATGAACTAGTCATCTTCGGAGGTTGGGCCGGGGCACCATGATAAGGAGACCACATAAAAGATGAACATTTTCCTAATGGTCCTGATCTGACCCTGGGATGAGAAAGACAGCTTTTAGGCTAGGGCCCACTCTATGTACCTGCCACCCTTAAGATCGAAAACACTTAATGCCTCCTGATTGGGGTGAGTAAGGGGTGGTAGCAGGCTGTGATGGGACCTCTCCATGCCACTGTTACTGCCCAGGACACTCGGGGCACTATGGTCACCAGCACTTCAAGCAGAGCTCTGTGTAGGAGTCTTAGCCTGAATCTCTGGACATCCTGGTAAGCAAAAGCACAAGTTTCTGCCTCTTGACCCTTTGCCTCCTCTTATCCTGTGCACTACCAAGACATAGATAGGACACTCCTACCCTAGAAGCCTCCTGGACGTGTCCTGTCTGATGTCAAGAGACCTAGCAGACCCAAGGAGGCCTGAGACTCTTCAGGTATTCCCACAGTGGGGCAGAGGGGTACCAGAGAGCAAGTCAGTCCTCGCCCCCCCCCCCCCCCCCCCCCGCCTGTCTTTTCTCAAAGTCCTGCCTCCACCATCAATCTGGAAACATTCCTCCCTCAGGCCCTGTGAGAGACCAGACACACACACTCATGTGTGCACATGAGGCCTCCTCACTTCACAGGCTAAACAGGTCCAAGCAAGTCCTACTGAGATGAAGGAGAGCCTGACTCTGACTATAGCTTCCTCCCATCCTTTAATGCCCTGAGTGACATCAGCCCTTCTCAGAACTGGACATTAAATTCCAACATTTAAAAGCTCTCAGGGGCCTTATCCTCATTGTCTCTTGACTGAGCCACATGAGCCCCTGTCAAGGACTCTAAGCCAAGCAGGTATCCACCTTGCCTAGGTAGTCAGCCCCCTCCCCGGGTCTTCTGTGGGACACCTCCAGGACACTATCTGCAGCAGTTCTTCTAGGCTCCATGGGTACTTCCAGGGCCACATGTCCACTCATCTGGTGGCCTGCAGGCAAACCAATAGGAGCAGTTCCTTTCCACATGGGGCCCAAAGGCCAGGAAACCTCTTGGGGGGGGGGAGGCCCCTCCCTAAGTGACTTTCAGTTCAAGGCTGTCTGGATCTAACTGTATTGTCGGATACTCTAGTCACTGAAGGGCAAGTAGCCTAAAGGGCAAATGTACAGGCGAAGGGATGGTAAGGGGGCTAGACAGTCATTCAGGGTGGGTCCAAAGGGCTGGATCACACAGCTCAGGAGCAGTGAGAGGACATAATGTTCTCTACCAACAAGGCTTGGCCCTGCGGGAAGTGGATGTTACATGTGAGCAGAGGGTCCCAACTTGTCTGGCTCTGTGTCCAGAGCCTGAATCCTGACTGCCAGAAGCCTCATGGGCCCAAGTCTTAGGAGATGGTTCTTGCAGCTAGGAAGACAAGACAGTTTAGTCATGAGGGCTTGAATTTCAATGCCCAGCATCCACATAAATGCCCATCACTGCAGTGTGCAACTATTATCCCAGCTAGGAAGGCAGAGACAAGAGGATCCCTCAAGCTTGCTGGCCAGCCAGTCTCACTGAATCAGTGTGTGCTTGGATGTTCAGTAAAAGACTGTCTCAAAAAATGAGGTGGAAGAACAATTGCAAAAAAACTCTGGTCTGCCCACATATGTCCACAAACACATGAACACACACATACACACACACACACTCACACACACAATGGCCCTTAGCCAGGGTTTGTATGGGTCTCAGTCCCTACTCATATCTTCTGTGGGGAGCTTGTGCTGACCTGTACTGTACTCTACACTGAGCACTCAGGAGAGATAGCATCCTTAAGGTTCTTCCTTCTCCTGCTGCCTCCCAGGACAGCACAATGATGGTGGTCCTTCTTAGTTTCAGGCATGTGAGCCACAGTGGTGGTCATTTGCATAAGACCTCTCCATGCTTGCCGAAGGGCACCTTTCAGGAGACAGCCACTGCTAATTCATTGAGACCTTGGGTGGACCACTCCCATAGGGTCATTACCCAGCCTGATGATGATAATGATCTGGAGAGACCTGACCCTCAAACTCAGACCCTCAGCCTTGTCCCAAGGACTGGACAGCTTGGCCTCAGTACCTAAGAGGAGCTCAGGGACCAGCACTTAGCTTAAGAGGGCCAGTGCTGAAGTTTCACGGAGGTCTAGGGGCTGCCAGGATAAGGTGAGACCAGGCTAGGCCTTTTCCCACTCCAGCATCAGATCCCTCCACAGTAGCCTCTCTGTCTTCCTGTCCCTCCTCTCTTTCCAGGGGACACCCTCCTTCACTTCCTCCTGAGGTCCAGGGGAGGTCAGCGTTCTTAGCAGAGGGTACTTACCCTCGGGTTCCAGCTCCGCTAACTGCTCTGCTCTGGCAACCATTCTGCCATGCATTCTGGCTATCCCCATGTGGCCGTTAGGAAAGGCCTCAATCCCAGCCTACTCCCTTCCACTCTTGTCTTTAGAGCTGCCCATTCCCTATCCTCCTCCTGTCTCCCCACCCCCAACAAGCTTCCCAACCTACCCACCCTTAACCCAGCATCTCTGCGAGCCCCTCCAGTCCTTCTAACCAAGACCCACTTTCTGTCTAGCTCTGCCTCTCTTCGTCTCTGAAGACCTAGGAGCTGGGAATGCTGTGCCTCACGCACGGGGAGAGCGCAGGAGCAAAGCCTTGCTCAGACCTAATCCCAGACCCCTAGAGCCAGAACTCTACTTTTCTCTCCCCTGTCCCTGAAAGGCAGGGAAGTGGGGGGAGGTGAATGATAACTGACCCTCTCAGTCGCTAGAAGTTCTGATAATTCAACTTCTGCCCTTCCATACCTCTGGGCAGAGTCTGAGTGTGATTTCTCTACATCTGTGATTCTCTCCCTTGGGCACCGTGCCCAGAAGCAGCATTTCTGGGGCAAACACCTGTGTTCTGTTTTTTTGACTTGGCTTCCAAAGGGAAAGAACAGAGCTATTTGGCTTTCCTGTTGGTCTATTGTTGCTGACTTGCGGAAAGCCAAAAGTCAGCTGTCCCTGGCAGAAGCTAGAGACCTAGCTAAGCGCTCCTCCTTGGCCCAAGCCCCTGCCTGGCCTGCACTGCCCCTCCTGGTTGGCCCTGCCTGGGGGCTGACTCATGGGATCCGCAGGAGTTCTAAGTGCAGCCAGAGTAATGATAATAATAACATACTCAGCGTGGC